TAGGTTGTTTATTGTTATTGGGTTTATTGTTAGGTTGTGTTATTGTGTTTATTGTTAGGTTGTTTATTGTTATTGGGTTTATTGTTAGGTTGTGTTATTGGGTTTATTGTTAGGTTGTGTTATTGTGTTTATTGTTAGGTTGTTTATTGTTAATGTGTTTATTGTTAGGTTGTGTTATTGTTATTGTATTTATTGTTAACATTAACAATAAACAACCTAACAATAAACACAATAACACAATATTTCTATAATTACAACTAAATCAGAGTTAGAATGTGACTGGTCGTATTCTTTAAAGTGCGAATAATTAATGTCATAAAAACTAGTTTTATATTAAGTTGACTGATGAAAACATCGAATATTTATAATACTGTTGTGTCAGCGAGGTCACGTGACTAGTATCACGCCACGTATTTCTAGAAATATCTTGTTCCTTCAAGAATGCCCTAGCATGTACTAGATATATGTTAGTCTGGTATATATATAAGATGGTCACAACGTGACGGGACAACAGTGTAATGAGTAATTGAATGTATGCGGACAAATATTGTTGGCCACGTGAGATATAGCGTTTGTTATAGCGCGACTGTTGAAATTAAGTGTATCGTAAAGTTGTATTCGGAAAGAATAAACCAGTTTTATTAAGAAAGGACTTGTGTCGCTAAAGTTTCGTCGGAACGAAGTTGCGGAAAATCAACTAACGAACGGAGACGTAACAAGTACCTTATTTATCAACATTACTATCGCAAAAAGTAATCTCTACTTTAAATATTTTTCTCACGGGCTCAAAGTTACTGTAAAACCTCTTTCGACAAAATAACGTAAAAAGATTTTGTTACTATATTTTGGCTAGGCTTGGCCGAGTGGTTGGGTGTTGATCTCTCTGTCCATTGTTCACGTCCTGTCTCCGCAAAAAAAATAAATCGGGCACCGCACTTTGGTAGCTTGGGTACGTTATAAAAGTAACAGTCCAAAAGTTGGCTAGCTGCCTTCCCTGTAGTCAAGCGTTTCTCAAACGGGCTCGCAAGATCAGAGACGGCTATTTAAACAGCCTCAGTGTAGCTTTGCGAGAATTTCCGCAAGAAACAAACAAAACTTGAATTTTTTTCCTTCATAATAATTTCAAATATCATAAGTTAAAATCAAATAAAGTTCTGTGAACTCTTTTTGTTTTTTGTTTTTCTCGTCAGCTGGTCAATTTCTCCCAGATCTGATCGTGGTGATTCGGACATCGTGGACAGTCGCGTGGCAGCTCTCTTGGAGGAGCAGAGCGTAGAGTATGAAGTAAGTGGATTACCTTATGAACTTTTCTTAATTAGTTAACTTAAGGTAAATCTATTTATTTTTGGGTATAAATGAAGTCACAAGTTACCAATCTATTTATTTTTGGGTATAAATGAAGTCACAAGTTACCAATCTATTTATTTTTGGGTATAAATGAAGTCACAAGTTACTAATATATTTATTTTTGGGTATAAATGAAGTCACAAGTTACCAATCTATTTATTTTTGGGTATAAATGAAGTCACAAGTTACCAATCTATTTATTTTTGGGTATAAATGAAGTCACAAGTTACAGTAACTTGTGACTACATTTATACCCAAAAATAAATATATTGGTAACTTGTGACTTCATTTATACCCAAAAATAAATAGATTGGTAGCTTGTGACTTAATTTATACCAAAAATAAATATATTAGTAACTTGCTTCATAATGTTGGCTATAATCTCAACTAGCCCTAACTTCTAAATTAAAACAAACTAGTTGTTTTGTTTTTTCAAGACTTAATCAGTCTTTGAGAACACAAGTGTTAAATAATTCTCGGTTTCTATCAATTGAAATGACCATGTGGGGTAAACAGCAAGGTCAGAAACCCTACGATTCAAGTATAGCTGTTCCTAATTTTGAGCTACTGATCAGAAAGGAGACAACCAGCCAGCTGCCACACAGACGGAATAACGGGACTGACTGCAATTTTTATAACGCGCCCACAGTTGAAAGTGTAGATAATGTGCACAAGCATCACGTCTCGAACCCCAAACTGACACGATTGACACTTGTTGAACTATTACCACTGTCAACCATCTCTTCTGTTTTTACTTTACCCTCTGGCTACTCTCATCCTCTACCCCTGTGAATGTGGCAAATATCTCATCAGAAATATGTAACTGTTGAGAAAATTAGAATTTCTGACCAAAATCATTAAAGTGTATGCCATATGCATTAGCACGCCAACACTTGTCGACGAGTCACAAACCTGTCGATACTGAAATATCACTCAGTTGCTGAAAAAAATGAAGGGAGCTCAGGGAAAGTGACAATTACCTTATTTATTGGAGAGGACCAACAAATGCTTTTCAACCATACAAAAGCAAACAACCTACCTGACACTGGAGTTGTCACTTATTTTCCAAATATTTCCACCCAAATGGTTCAGCGCATAAACCCCGGAGAGGGAGACTCTTCCACGTGTGCAGAATACAGAAGGTTTGTGTACTTCTGAATTTAGCGAAGTGAAAGTTCCTTAGGTTACTTCAGAGCATCGAGGGTATTCTTCTCTTTAGATATCTTAGCTGTCAAGTGCTTCTTAACGTCATTGAAAACACGTAGAACTAGAACTCAGTAGGGCGCATATCCCCGCCACGCAGTGTTGATCATATTTCTCTCACAAAATACGAAAATCTGTCTGTATGTCCGTCGTTATCAACGTGGGAAAGTGGGTAGCTCAAATGTTTGAATACATTATACATATACATATTACTTTTAAATTAAATAATTAAAAGTCTGTTGTGCATTAATTTTTCTCTCGTTATTTTAGGCTTAACACTTCACAGTGTCTAAGATCTTATTAACAAATGGCATACCAGCACGTTCAGGGCCACTAAACTGGCATACGTGAGGAGGGGGGGGGGGTATATATTTGATTTCTTATTAAATCTTGAATTCTCTGTTGCATAATTATCATACCAAAACTTTATTTATAATATTAAAGTAATTTAATAGCTAGGAAAGGTGACAGAGATGTTATTAGTAAGTTCAATGTCACACAGTACCGACACTTACCTTGTCCACAAAATGATTATCGAGCTCGAAAGATCAGTCACTGTATCGCTGTCCCAAATACAGACACCTGATGACAAACCCAGACCAAAACGTAGATAATTTCTATGAACCACTAGTTGATCGATCCGAATACATTTTACATCGATACAGGGGAAGTCCGTCTGATACCTGATATTACCAGCCGTTAACAACACGTTATTTTATATCTGTTAGTCGGACTATCGTAAATCTTGAATTTAATGTTGTTTTTCTTTTCAGAATTATCTCTGTGGTGTCTGAAGAAAATTTGCGATGTTTATCAAAATATTTATGCAAATTTATTTAATTTGATGCCTACACTTAAGTTACAAGTTCCAGTAGCCGACATTTTGGAATGTTGTACTCCCAATGCGGCGGAATATAAGTGATGGATTAAGGCTTAGGCGGTTTGGGCGACAGCCAGGGGCTCATGGTCTAAGGGGGGCTCATACAGAAACGAAACAAAATTATAAATCACATAAAATTTATAAATATTTTGTTATGTTAACTTTCTCAATACGGGCTCAGTCCCACGGACCGACCACGTGACCATTTTGTACTAGTATGTAGCTTTAATACTACGACTTTTAATACAGTATATATCTTCATAAAATTTGTCAGACGTTTAGTAAACATTACAAGTCGTTTGTACACAAAAATTCAGTTTTTATTGAAGTATTTTACTAAAGATTTGTCCATGAATATATATAGTCTTTTTTTTACTAGTCCGAGTGCAAATTAATATTTATGTTAAGATTAAAATACTTTTCTTCGTCTCAAAAGTCTCAAATTTCTACTGTATAATCTTTAAAACCTCCTAAATAAACTTCAAACAATTTTATAAGTAAAACTTCATATTTTATCTGTTATTTCCTCTACCCTAACTCCAAACAGGGCTGCTCAATTTGACCGACCTCGTAACCACCACAAAAAATCTAAATGAATCTAAATTACCTTTTTTTCTTTCTAGAAAGACTTCAAATTGTAACATGAAACTACACTTGTTTATCCTAAATAGTTATAAACTCGTAACAGTAAACATCTGTTTATACTTAAATTTTATTATTATTTTATTGCCTTTTGAACTGTGTCTAACCGCTATTGGAGCCATTATAAGTCATAAGTAACTGGCGAACGTGCAGCTCATGTTATTCTCTAGAGCTACACTATGCATGAGCTATTTGTGAGCATATCTCGTGAAAAATGTCTATTATATTATTATTATCTATTTTACCTAATCTAACCTTAAATCATTTTAAAAGTTTTATTTTTACATTTTAGTTATCTTTTAAAATAATAAATAAAGAATACAGGTGAAAAAAAAAGAAATATAGTACTTACCTGGGTCTTCTTTTTTTCTGTCGACTGTCCATGACATTTAACCCTACTTTTTTATATTGATGGTGCTACTACACTAAATAATTTTTTAATTAATTAATGCTCAAAACAACACAGATAATAACATGCAAAACGCAGAATATGTCCCATAACTATCATAATTTTTCTGGCTTTCTAACGATGCTACAAGAGTCGTTAGAATTTCAGCTAAGCTCGTCGATATATTTCCCCTGGGAACAAAAGTTGAACTGGAAGCAAAACTAAAGATTCTGTGTAGAGAAAACAATCTAACATAGTACGTCATTTGATAAGAGGAAGCCTTGAGTTTCTTTTGGCTATAAGTAATATAATATTAAAAGTCGGAGAGAACTATTGACAAATTCTGAAAGGGAGGATGTTACAGGTGGGCGTGTTAGGGGAGTTTGATTTTCCATTTGATAGCTCTGTAACCAAATAAGATTGAAGCTATTAAAATTATGCTTTGCCTGAGCAACTACAGCATTATAATCAGTAATTTACATTAAATTTTGTACTTCTTGGAGGGGTAGTAAGACAATTAGAGAAGAGGGGATGCCTAGAGAGGAAAACGTCAGAATTTTCAAACTAAGGGAAATTTAGGATTTTTTTAAATATTGCATTATGAAATTAAGAACATAAAATTTATATACTATTAAAATATGAATAATTAGCTACGTTTTTACGCTGCATTTATCAGTACACCATGATAAAAATGTAGTTTAATTAAATTTTGAATGTTAAGTCACTAAAACGTCGTGACATGCGCACAAAAGGATCATGTCTAAATTGCTATGGAAACAGGTGTATGCTGTTCTTGCACACATCCATGATGGTATCAAGCTGTAATGTTGAGACAGTGGTGAGAATATACTTGTCCATGATGGTATCGAACTAATGTTGAGACAGTGGTGAGAATATACTTGTCCATGATGGTACCAAACTGTAATGTTGATATAGTGGTTAGAATATACTTGTCCATGGTGATATCAAACTGTAATGTTGATATAGTAGTGAGAACATAATTGTCCATGATGATATCAAACTGTAATGTTGAGACAGTGGTGAGAATATACTTGTCCATGATGATATCAAACTGTAATGTTGGGACAGTGGTGAGAATATACTTGTCCATGATGGTATCAAACTGTAATGTTGACACACTGGTGAGAATATACTTGTCCATGATGGTACCAAACTGTAATGTTGAGACACTGGTGAGAATATACTTGTCCATGGTGATATCAAACTGTAATGTTGATATAGTAGTGAGAACATAATTGTCCATGATGATATCAAACTGTAATGTTGAGACAGTGGTGAGAATATACTTGTCCATGATGATATCAAGCTGTAATGTTGAGACAGTGGTGAGAATATAATTGTCCATGATGGTATCAAACTGTAATGTTGAGATAGTGGTGAGAATATACTTGTCCATGATGATATCAAACTGTAATGTTGATATAGTGGTGATAATATACTTGTCCATGATGGTATCAAACTGTAATGTTGATATAGTGGTGAGAATATACTTGTCCATGATGGTATCAAACTGTAATGTTGCCATCATGGACAAGTATATTCTCACCACTGTCTCAACATTACAGTTTGGTACCATCATGGACAAGTATATTCTCACCACTGTCCCAACATTACAGTTTGGTACCATCATGGACAAGTATATTCTCACCACTGTCCCACCACTGTCTCAACATTACAGTTTGATAAATGTTGAGATAGTGGTGATAATATACTTGTCCATGATGGTATCAAACTGTATTGTTGAGACAGTGGTGAGAATATACTTGTCCATGATGGTATCAAACTGTAATGTTGAGACAGTGGTGATAACATACTTGTCCATGATGATATCAAACTGTAATATTGAGATAATGGCGAGAAAATACTTGTCCATGATGATATCAAACTGTAATGTTGAGATAGAGGTGAGAATATACTTGTCCATGATGGTATCAAACTGTAATGTTGATATAGTGGTGATAATATACTTGTCCATGATGATATCAAACTGTAATGTTGATATAGAGGTGATAGTATACTTGTCCATGATGGTATCAAACTGTAATGTTGAGAATATACTTGTCCATGGTGATATCAAACTGTAATGTTGAGACAGTGGTGAGAATATACTTGTAACGAATAAAAAAAGAGCTCAGGAAAGAACAGGATAAAGACTTTTCGAAATTCGCTGAAGAGTTCAGTTAAAACAAAGCCAGAAAAAGACAATTCCAGCTTTAAACAGGTACGTGCAGGTTCTAATAAAGTTATTTTCATGATCATTCACGAATGAATAAAATGTGTTTGCCCACGTTTGTGGTTTATCTGTATTGTCTATACATCTTACGTGTATATGTTTAACGTTATTATTTTGACAGTGAAGTTGACTCAGTTCGCTAGAGATCGATATATCTATTAGGAGAGGGGGGCTTTTCTTCCTCTACCGGCTGGGACCCAATCACTGGTAGTAATATATTTAACAATAGTGTAATTATTTAAAATAATTGGACCATCAAGATAAAACAATGTTTTACGCCAGATAAAAACTGTAAAACGCGAAGAATCTATACTTTAAAATCGTATATTCTTTGTTATTGATGAGAAAATACAAATCTGGATATATATATAACTTAACTTATCTAATATCTCTCAAACGTAGAAATTTTAGAATACAGTTTTGTTAACATCACGGAGTTAATACAATTTGATTTAAGCGAAAAGCTGGACAATCGGGAAACTGTGGAGATCGAACCCAGAATCTTAGTGTTATAAGCTCCACGAGCTTACCGCTAAGCCACCGGTGGAACATTGTGTTATTGGTTTTCATTAATAGTAAGTATAATTCATATCATCTATATATATATGGAAACATGCACAAACATTATCACGAAGATTTTAGCCAAAAATCCCTCTTAAGACGTCATCGATAAGAATATAATGGACACAGTTTTGATAGTACAATTTGTATTCCTCTCTATGGTTTGATAGGTAAACGCCAACACTAATGGGATGAGAGTAATAAAAAACAGACAATGAGAATAAATATACAGTTAGAGGGAACTTACAACCTGAAAGACAGAGAAATAAAACAAATTATTCGATTCAGACAAAGCCCTTGTGGTAATAGTAGGTGTTGGCTGGCTGCCTCCTTCTTATCAGTAGTCCAGAGACTCCTTGAGTATAGATAAAGGTACTATTCAGGTTTAAATTTCCAATTCCAAACTGGAAAATAAACACTGAAAGTGGAAGATTGTTTGTTTGTTTGTATATGAATTTCGCTCAAAACTACACGAGGGCTATCTGCGCTAGCGGTCCCTAATTCAGCAGTGTAAGGCAGCTAGTCATCACCACCCACCGCCAACTCTTGGGCTACTTTTTTACCAACGAATAGTGGGATTGACCGCACATTATAACGCCCCACGGCTGAAAGGGCGAGAATGTTTGGTGTGACAGGGACTCGAACCCGCGACCCCCAGATTGCGAGTCGAGCGCTCTAACCACCTGGCCATGCCGGGCCCAAGTGGAAGATAAAATGGAAAAAAGAACACTTAAAGTAAAAGAAAAGAAGAGTGTTGTAAGTGTTAGAAACCATCAGCGACCTCTAATTTTGGATTCTGAAACCTTTTTTTTTTGCTTCACACTGTCACCAATAACACTATGAAGTTCAATTAGTCACTTTTTCAGAAGCTCTGCGTAAGATACGCATTACATTTCTATATATGTATATATCCACAAGTATATCTCTAACAAAATGAAAATATAATGGTAAAACTTTGAGAATAAAGACAAACAGCACTGTGAAATATTATATCCCAATTTCTTAATCAATATTTTTGCAATGTTTACTGACAAAATACCGAAATGTTTGAAGAAAAAATTATAGCCGCGTTTGAGAAATAATGTCTGACATCATATGAACATGTGATACGGTAAACCCAGCACGCTTTCCACTACAGATAGGTTGATTAGTGGCTTCAAGTGTGTGCAAGATGCCATAATTTTCTGATACATAAAGTTGCTGGAGGAAACATTTTAAACTTTCTTTTTAAATGTTGAAAGACATGACTCGGTACTGTAAATAGAACTGGTATTGAGAACTTGGAGCCAGACATTTAAAATCATAACAAATTTACACTTGTTACATTTGTGATGTTATTGCATTTAATGTGGTCATCTGTAAACGATCAACATCTGTAATGTCTGTGCGTGTGCTCTTCATAAATGTTGGCACTTTGGAAGGACTCAAATAAGCAAACCTTACATCACTCAGCATAGTTTCGCTCAATATAAAGATCATTATCACAGAATTATTGATAAATATCCACGAATTTTGACTTCACTCGGTTTCCAAGTGGTGATCAAATATGGGTGTCGAGACAGGTATTCAATTCACGTGACTTTATTCTAATCGATCATCGTGGTGGTGTAATGGTGTGGGTTGCATTTTGCATACTTGAAATGGGGTCAATTTAGATACCCATATTTTCTAACAATATAATAACGTTATCTTCTACAACAAACATGACTGACCCAGGCTTACTATCAAAGCAATACTATCAACGTCTTGAAATCATCTGAACAGAGCTCATTGCCGAATAGAAGCATTTATTAAGGTCGTGGGAGATGGTTTACGTACTAGAACATTGATCATCAGGACATTCATTTTCCCATATTTACACATCCAGATACTTTTGGCAAGAATAAAACATGTTAACATATCTTAAAGTTTCTTATCCTCATTGGAATATACCACATAGCCTTTCATATATTTTACCTTTCAGTTATAAGTTGATATTTTATTTCAGCCAGCAGACACCTTATCTGATACAGATGTTGATACAGCAGACAAAGAACTCCAGTTGAACACCGTCAGGAGAAAAGTCTCCCAGTTATTGGATGATGCTTTCTTTCTCGCTGCTCCAAAACGCCTGTACAGCAGGTAAGTTGCTACCAGTGCACATTTAAAATGAATAATTTCTATTTAAAATAAGTTTTTTTTTACATCGATTCTGTACATGTCCGTCTTGTACACTTGATCCTTTTATTAATTCTGTGTGGATATTGTATCCTCACCCCTATTAATTATACATGTATGAATATTGTACCCTTCGTCCCTTTATTGATTCTCTATGTGTGAATCGTGTACCCTTGATCCTCTTATTAATTATATGTATGAATATTGTATCTTTTCTTTCTGCAATTCTTATCGGTTCTGCAAAAATGAATGCGTTGTATACTTTTATTTGAAAATTAATGCCCTTGTCCATTTTGAACTTGTTTCCTGCACCCATTATAATACACGTACTTTATTTCTTTTCACGTTTTTCTCTCTTCTTAGTGAAACTAAGTATTCGTTGAAAGTGTACTACACATTGAAATAAGCAAGTATTTAAACTATTGTAAGTTAAAATATGATCACTATAGAAGATGAACACGTACATATACTATAATTAAACAAGTTTAGCTACCGAATTGTTTTACTGACGAAATTACCAGACAACAAAAAAATGTGATTCCTAAATTTGATGTAAAAATATATGAAAGTTGTACCTACGTCATCGTAAAATTGACATTGAAATGTCAAAAACTTTTTTCAGCCTACGCTGTAAGAAAATTTCCCCGGCTGTCCATGGAACCGTACGATCTAGTCTACGATCTCGATCTGCAACACCACAGCTCGAAAGTGACACCAGGTGGGGCTTTTAACGTTTTCTTAATTTGTACGCTAGAAACTGGAACAAAACCTCTTACGTATCAAAGTGGTTTAGAATAATACAGAGATAATTATTTACCAATCCGTGCCAGATTCACGCTGTCAGTTAAAGGTATTTCATCTGACCAATACGTACCTTGAGCTGACGGCATGAATCTAAGATTCCTAACATTCCGTATTGGTCAGATGAAAGGCATGAATGTCAGTTCAAGGTATTTCACCCGAACAATACAGAATCTTAGGGCATGAATCTGACAGCATGAATCTAAGATTCCGTATTGGTCAGATGAAATACCTCAAGGTATTTCATCTGACTAATACAGAATCTTAGATTCATGCCGTCAGTTGAAAGTATTTCATCTGACCAATACGGAATCTTAGATTCATGCCGTCAGTTCAAGGTATTTCACCCGAACAATACAGAATCTTAGATTCATGCCGTCAGTTCAAGGTATTTCATCTGACTAATACAGAATCTTAGATTCATGCCGTCAGTTGAAAGTATTTCATCTGACCAATACGGAATCTTAGATTCATGCTGTCAGCTCAAGGTATTTCATCTGACCAATACAGAATCTTAGATTCATGCCGTCAGTTAAAGGTATTTCATCTGACTAATACAGAATCTTAGATTCATGCCGTCAGTTGAAAGTATTTCATCTGACCAATACGGAATCTT